AAGAAGGATGGGTTTCGCTAAAACCCGCAGGGTTCATTTTCTCGAAGCAATTTTTAATGATTGATCTGAAAAAGCGTTAGTATATAGAGAGTACATTATTTACATTATTCGGACTATTGTCCTCATCTTTGTCGCCATATTTATCACAACGTTTCGGTCGTTGTACGCTCCGGCCTTCTTCAGGTGGTTGGAATTTTGAACTGAACCCTTTATTTCGCTCACTGGGATAGACTGTTCTAGTTCCACGTGCCATGTTTGATCTCCTGCTAATTTCCCTCTGAAAGTCCTCCACTGCCTTAACCGGGTATTGAACGTACACTCTTTGGGTCCTGTCACTGGATCTAACCAACGCCTTTCTCCACTGTGCCATGTGAATTTTTCAATGGTGTTCCAACCACCTGAAGAAGGCCGGAGCGTACAACGGCCGAAACGTTGTGATAAATATGGCGACATGCCAATATGAGGACAATAGTCCGAATAATGTACATAATACCTCATCTCAGAAATATACACAGACTCATATAGAGAGCAGTTTAGATATTTCTAAACAAGTGTGGTGACATGATTGATATCCATATAAAATTTATTGGTCCTGACCTGGCATCTTGGCCTCAGTCGCTTTCCCACTGTCCTAACGTAGATTCTCTTTTCTATAAATACTTTCATTGTAATTGTTCTGACGAACTTTCCGCTATGGCATCAAGACTTTAGGAATTTAAGAGCAGTACTAGATTGGCAGCAAGGTCTCATTATTTTACAGTTGAACTGGCTGCAAGTAACCATGAGTTGTATGCTTACAGATTCTTCTGTCGCACTTCTCATTTTTGGAACCCTCATCCAGCTTATTCCATCCCAGTCAAATTAGGTTTTCAAAAATTAAATGCAATGTCAATCGCTACATTCTATTTTATTAATTCTTATTCTTTTATTGTTCTCTCTCCTTAATAGTAGATTTTCTCATATTTTCTAACACTCAGTAACCCCTTGCGTCCTAGTGGCTTTATGGCATTTGATCTTAATAGACTTAAATACAATGTAAATCGTTATCTTTTGTCTTGTTAATTCTTATTCTTTTATTGTCCTTTCTCCTTAATAGTAGTTTTTCTCATATTCTCTAAGACTCAGTAACCCCTTGAAGCTTTATTGCATTTGATTTTCATAGATTTAAATACAATGTCAATCGTTATATTATGTCTTCTTAATTCTTCTTCTTTTATTGTCCTATCTCCTTAATAGTAGTTTTTCTCATATTCTCTAACACTCAATTACACACCCCCGCGTCCTAGTAGCTTTCTTGCTTTGCTTGGGGTAAAACGATTAAAAAAAAGGAAAAAACTATCTGTCGTGGTTATTTAAGAACATGACTCGAGTTTTTAGGATTACGTTTTGGTTTTGCAGCAATTTGCAATGTTTGGTAAAACTATCTCTAGCGTAGCCAATTGTTCAATTTGCTTATCTTTCTATACTAAATGTGGTGGGAACCAGGATTAATATTTATGTAAAGTGTAGTTGAAATTGGTCGCGAGTCCCTGAACCGAATTCGACAGAAAATGTTTACATATAACATTGACAAAAATGAATTAAATCTATCAATGCATAAAACTGCATATCCAAACAATATGACCCAAATAAACAATTCAGGCGCTAAAGTAGCAATTACAGTTGGTTTAATTTAAAGTCTATTAAAACAGGACATGTTTTGAATAAAATAAATGTTATTTTAAAGAGTTGGAGTTATATAAACTTGTCTGAATTTTTACACGTTCGCGACACCAGAATCAAATGACAAAAATTGAAATATCTGGGAAAGTGCGACACTGAAATCCGAAAACCCAATGGGGTAGCTAAAGACGCCTTCCAAAAGCTAAGCAGAGTATTAATAAACAGGAAAATATAGTTAGAACCAAACAAAAGAGTATTGAACTGTTACGTGATATCTGTCCGATATGGAAGTGAATACTGGACAATCTTCTCAAAGATGAAGAGACTCAAAGCAACAAAAATGTGGTTCT